AGGGCACAAAGTCAAACCAACCAACCAACCAACCGACCAAACAAGAAGTGTGTTGTGTGTGTGTATGTGCCCGTGAGTGACTATCTGTATGTCTGTCTGTCTGCCTGCAGGTAGTGGAGTCAGTCGATCGTATCAGCCAGTCAGTTGGTTGGTTGTTTATGTTCGGCCTCTCGCGGCTTGTGTGGCTGGGGATGCGGCGGGCCGCACGGGCTTGGCCACCTGCACGCACCCAACCACCAAAGAAAGGCAGCACAGCAAGGAGGGAGGGAGGGAGTAGCCAGTGATACACACGGCACTCTCTGTCTGTACACCAAAACGCCACTCGAAACACTCACTCACCCATCCACCCACACAGTCCGTCAGGCAGGCAGGCAGGCAGCCAGAAGAGAGTGAGAGAGAGTGACAAGTAAATGCGCATGCCACACGCATGGCATGGCATGGACACCAGATACACATCGCATGGAATCACATCACGCCACGTCGGCCATGACGACATCTGTATCAGGTTCCACGTTGACCTTTGGGTGTTTGCTGGCGGAGATCCCGGGCGTCGCTGTGGGGGACTGCCCCCCTTGCTGCTGTTGGGGGGCCTCGCAATCGACCACCACAAACGAGTCCAGCAAGACGTCGTAGCACAGCGTCTGGATGGATGCCACAGACAGAAACCACAATACCATACACACAACACATTGGGGGCTCTGTGGTGCTGTGCTGGTGGTGATGGTGGTGATATTACTTACGTCGCTGTCTTTCTCGAGGGTTTCAACGAGGAGGTTGATCTGCTCGTCTGTCAGGGGGGCCCTGAAGACACGACACACACGCAGGCACGCACGCACGAAGAGGGATTCGGCAGGCAATGACCGCATTGATTGACTGACTGACTACATGGCCGGCTGCCTCGCTAGCTAAGTCACTCACTCTGTTCGTGAGAGGACGTTGTTGAGCGTCTCGAGCGCTTTCTGACCAGGCACACACGCACAGAAAGGCCTCCCTCACGATTGATTCCCACCCACTGCACTGCCCTCCGCCCTCTCCCTGTGGTTGCCTGCAGGTCTTTGGTCTTGACATATCCCGTGTAGTCGGGGTCAAACTGCTGCAGTGCACGCCTGACCGATCCAATCCACAGTGAGTGGTTCACACGGAGAGGTCGCCAGGGCCGTCTTGTGGCCATGTGTGTGTGTGTGTGTCTGTCTGTCTGTGTGCAGAGAGTGCACCGTACCGAAGTGTCGGCGCGTGCTTGAAGATGGTGGTGCATATCTGCTCCCAGATCTGACCGACCGACAGACACAAAGCACTCGATCCATCGATCTCTGTGCTGGCTGGCTGGTATCTGTGTCTGGTGTGGTGTGGCGCCGACTCGACTCGACTCGACTGACCTCGTCGCCGGCCTGGTGTGCTGCCTGCTTGCTGTGATCCACCACTGCAGGCAGGCACACATACACACACGGACAGCACATGATGAAGGCCATGGCCACCATGCCACCCATCATTTCTCGTGCGTGCGTGTGTGACGTGACCTTGGAAGGCTCTGAGAAATTCGAGGTAGTTGATGCGCCCGTTGCCCACCACATCTATCACCTCGGCCAGCTGCATGGCCATCACAAGGTCACACACACCACTGTACGCCTCTTCACACGTGTGTGTGTGTGTGTGTGTGTGTCTGGATGTATGAGGCGTGCCTTTCTGAGGTGCTGGTCGGTGAGCTCGAAGCCGACGTCCTTTTTGCAATCCTTCAGGGGCAGCCCACGCAGCGCCACGATGAAGTCATCGTACGACAGGAAACCTTATGTGTGTGTGGACACACAGATACAGACAGACACGCACACACACATGCGATCGCATCTTCTTGTGCCCACCTTCGCCCTTCTTGTCACTTTGCTGCACACACAGACAGACAGACAGACGGACGGACAGACAGACGGACGGACAGAGAGAGAGATACAGCCCAGCCCTGTCGCAACCAGCCCCTCAGCCCCTCCCTCCCTCCCTGCCCACCTGGAATTTGTCCATGAGTGTGAAGGCCCGCATCAAGGAGGACCGGCGTCTTATGTGCTCGAGTGGATCCTTGGGCGGCGCCAGGAGTCCCCCTCCCCCTTTGCTGCTGGCAGGTGACATGTCTGGGCTGCCAGTGATGCCCAGCCTTTTGAGGCTGTCGTCGGGGCTCTCGGTGCGGATCAGACGGCCGATCGACTTGAGCGCCTTCTCTATCCACGGCTCCGTGTACCTAACAAACCCACCCACACCACACAGACAGACAACAGCGGCAACAGCAGGGGGCCATCTGCTCTGCTGGGCGTGGGGTGTCACATGCCGGTGGTTGGCTGCTCACTTCTTGGCTATGCTTGCGTTGTAGGTCACCTCAAACCTGCACATAACAACACAGCCATTTTCTCGTCTGTCTGTCTGCTTGACTCGGCCCCCACACAGACACACAGACAGCCCCCCACACCCTCCCTCCCATCGATCGACCAGCTACCGTGCGAGGAACGCAGCGACGTGCACCCGTCCGGAGGCGTCTCCCTTGGCGAGGTGGTCAGCGGTGATGGTGCGCATCAAAGCCATCACCTGAGGCTCAGTCAGGCCCGGGCAAAAGGTGCTGATGAACTCACGGAACTCGCGAAATGACACCTGTCGTGAGTGATATATATCCGTGGGCCGACGGACAGGTGCGGGCGTGCGTGCATGTGGTGTGCGGGGAGAGGTGTGGAAGGAAGGGTTACTTTACTTCACTTACGGTTCCATCTGAGTTTCTGTCGAAGAGGAGGAGGGTCTCCCGAAGGCTTAAATCACACATCAAGATCGCCTCAAAGATCTGCATAACATGACACACACGTGACGGACACTCATGGAATGGATGGCTCCCTCGTGTGTGTGTGTGTGAGAGAGTGGAGGGGGGTTGGGGTGCACGCGTGTGCACATACCTGTTGAACGGTGTCCCTTTTCCACTTCTCCGATCTGAGTCTGTCGCCCTTAAACTCAACACGGAACCGACGCAGGAACCTCTCGTAGTCGACCATACCATCACTATCCACCACCTGACAATCAATGACACCAAAACACACACACACTCACGGCTGCACTGCGTCGTCTTGTGAGTGCGGCTGTGTGTGGTGTGGGGGAGGGGGAGGGGGAGGGTTTGGTGTGTGTGGTCGCGGTACATTGAGTTCTTTCTGCAGGAAGACCCACGGCAGGCTGTCGCCCAGCACGTCGTTGCACGCCTCTCTGTCACGAGCAGCAGAAGGCACCAGGAGGGGGGCAATGGCAGCACCTGAGCGTGTGTGTGTCCATCTATCTATCGGTGGGCTGTGCAGCACCTCCATAGGTTTGCAGTTATCTTGCCCTCCTTGTTCTCATCCACCGACCAGAACCACCACCACAAATCCTGCACAGGCGCGTGTGTCGGTAAGCCAGCGTATGCGTGTGTGTGTCTGCACCTGTTTCTTCTCGCATATGAGTTTCTTGAGCTTCTCGATCACGTCGCCGGCCATCCTCTCGGCAGCATTCTATCACACACACACACACACACACACAGAGAGAGAGAGAGAGGGAGCGAGAGGGAGCGAGGGAGAGGGACCAGAGGTCGCGCAACGAACTGAGCACTCACGCACTCACTTCGAGTATGAACGTCGATCGTCTCTTCTCGGCTCTCTTCAGCCTCGTGGCCATGTCATACACTTTCCCTGACACCTGCACACCACCACCACACACACACACACACACACAGATAGGCGCCACGGCATGAGTGTGTGTGTGGGTGTGGAGGCTGACCTGGTCGGACTCCTTGACGATTTCTCTGAGCTGGTCGATGGTGGGCGCCCAGTACTCCTGAATCTCAAAGGAGAGGTCGGACTGAAAGAGGATCTGCACGCCGACACACACGCACCCACATACACACACACGCATAGAAGGTGGTAAGGTGGGGCTGATTACATATATTACCACTCCGCCATAGTTGTTGGATGCGCCGCAGTAGTTTGATGCCGAGAAGACCGTCACGCACTTGCCCTGGTGCTGCACCTCAAACCCCCTGCCCGTAGATGGCACCTGCACAACCACACAAACACACACACACACACACAATGGCACAACCAAACCGCACATTCAGAAAGAAAGAGAGAGAGCCACCCACCCACCCACCCATCCCCCCCGAGCACCCACCTCACCTCACCTCATGAGAGCGGATGCAGACCTCCAATTTGTTCCTCGCCAGAAACCGGTCAGTAATATCCGGCCCATACACGATGCAGTCGGGCCCCCGTGTGGACCGCCCGATGCCGTAGTGGGGCTGGGGGTCCGACCACAGCAGGTCGAACATGACCGTGTCCTGGAAGGACACCGGGTTGTCGGGGCAGGGGCGGTACCGGTCCACGGCGTTGAGGTGCAAGAGGGAGATGCCGTCGCGCCGACAGAGGCCGGCGTGCACGCAGAAGATCCGATCTGACACACACACACACACACACACACGGAGGCAGGCAGTGATGCACAAAAGACGCTGAAGGGATGAGGGGTCCTTCCTCACTCGACTGGCTGACCATCGATGATGGTGCAGAGAGGGAGGAGGTGGAATATGTCCTGGAACTTCTGGAAGATCAGCCCGCCGTACTTCTGCCGCACCTCCAGAGCGAAGCCATAGACCTCGTTCATGTCGGTGCTCTCGTGGTTGCCTGCAAAGAAACGAACAACACAACACACATGCCTTGCAACCTTGTATGTGCGCATGTGGTGGTGTGTGGTGGTGTGTGTTACCTACCTCTGTTGACGAGGACACATCCCGGGTGCAAGAGGTTGAAGGCACAGATGAGCAGCAGGATCTCCGTGGCGTACATCCCGCGGTCACACAGGTCGCCGTTGAACAAATACCTGACACCCAACACACACACACCATCCATCCATCCACGCCTCTCCCTGTCCCTCTGCGTACACATTGTTGGGTGAGGGGTATCCGAATTTGTAGAACAGGAAGAGCACGTCGGCCAGCTGCCCGTGCACATCCCCACACAGGAGCAACCTCGCGCCGCTCTCCTTGGGGATGGTGAAGTGCCGCACGGCGTTGGGCACGGTGTCCTCGAGCTGGTCTTCGAAGCCGCACAGCAGCTCCCACGCATACCGTCTGCACACATGTCATGGTGTCGACACACAAAGGGTGGGAGGGGGGGAGGGGTGTGGTGGGTACCTACCTGTGCAGAATCACGTCGGGACTCTCAATGTAGTGCCGCACCATCCGATGGCACATGTCCCATGTTATCGGCCAGTCAATACGGGGACCCTACACACACCCATACACACACACACACACACACCACGACAGACCTCTGCCCTTCTCTCCCGCCAGCACACCCACACACCCTCCGACCGACCGTGTAGCTGTCAGGGATCTGCTCGGCCATCAGTGCCGCCTCCGAGATGCTGGCCCTCGGGGTGGTGCCATAGACACTCCTGCTCAGCCGCCGTTGCGTGGCCGTCTGGAGCAGCGCCTTGGGCTCCTCACCCGCCCCATACTTCCGCCGTATCTCCCGTGTGACCTGCGAGGCGACGTCTCGGTTGTTGACGTGGAACTCGCTCTCCTCGTTGTTTTCGAGTTGCGTCCATGCGTGGAGGGCCATGTCCTGCTTGGCCTTCTTGCGGGCCTTGGAGCCACGAGCGAGGCTCTGGATGGCCACGGCAGCTTTCTCCTGGTCTGGACAGAGAGAGAGAGAGAGAGAGGGTCGAGTGATGGAGTGCATCTCTCTCTGTTGGGGCGCGTGTGTGTGTGCCTGAGTAAGGCTTGAGTGCGCTCTCGCGCACAAAGAGGCCGTGGTTGGGAGGGCAAGAAAAATACCGGAATCCCTGTGCAGGATGATGACGCACATCGCGGCCAGGCAGCAATCTATCTCTTCCTCTCTCTGCTTTCCCCCACCTCCTCCCTCACCTACCTGCACGGCCCCATCGTTCTTGCCGAGGGCCTTATCGATGAACTCAACACCATACCAAACACCTGAATACCGCAGGCAGCACACACACACAGAGAGAGTGAGTGCCCTGACTGACACGATGAATGGCAGATGAATGCTTGGTTGCATTTCCTCTGTATGTATTCCGCGCACCCGCCCCGAATCGCGCCTCGCCCTTGAATCGCAGGATGGCCGGCTTGCCGTTGGCCAGACACAGACCACCCACCTCGAACCCACGGCCCTGGGCCGCCTTGGCGCTCGCTGCCATCACGACTTCGCGACTTACTTTATCGCTCTCCGATGAATGCAATGCAGGGGGATCAATTAAGGGGACGCCTGGGCGGTGGTTCGACAGTAGGGAGGGCGATGGGCATCACAGTGGAGGGCAGGGCGGCCGACGTTTGCCGAAGTCGGGATGAATGAGTTCGCTGGATGGGAAGGGAATCAAGCCAGGCGATGAAGGTGGCAACCCTGCTAATTCGCTTTTCTGTTTGGTTCCCTGGAGCTAAGCTCGCAGACTTCCCCGCAGCTCGCGGAAAAAAGGGAAGCTCCCCCCGGTGCAAAAAGGGAAGAAGAGGAAGAGGAAGAAGGGACAAGACCGCCCCTGCACGCGCCAAGACAGCGGATTGACAAGCACAGCACACTCGGCAACACCCAGCATGAACAACGGTGCCACTGGCGAAGCCGCAGCCCAGCGCCGCTCGTCAGCTGCTACAGATGGGAGCGCTGGCAGTGCCGGCAGTGCACCCACTTCTCCGTCGGCCGAGGTGCCGGCTTACGAGTACGCCTTCATCAAGGTGCCTTACGAGTGTCTGATGAAGGCCTTTCGCAATCTGCAGAAGCAGGTCGAGAAGGAGGTGGGCGCCACCGTCACCTACATCGGGAGGTCCTGCTCCGAGGGGGCCAGGGATGAGTGCCTCACCCGGATGGACAGACTCATCAACAAGCTGCAAAACCTCAAAAACAAGGTAGGTAGGTAGGCATGGCATGGACCTCCCTGTGTGTGTGTATGGCTGTGTGTGCGTGTGTGTCACACACACTCATACATGGCATGGCCATCCCTTCCTTGATCTCTCCGTCCCTCTCTCTCTGTGTGTATGGGTGTGTGTGTCCACTAGGTGGAAGAAGCCTCCCAGGAAGCAGACATGTACGTGTCGCGTTGCCAGAAGCGGCTGCGGACTCTGCAGGAGGAGCCGGCCATCCCCGTGGGCCACCTGGGCCCACACACTTTGGCTGGGTGGCAGAGGGACTTCTCCTTCGACACCTACGCCCGCAAGGTCGACAGGATGGTCTATGACTACCTCGCCAGGAGGGGGCTCACCAAGACGGCGGACGCACTCAAGGAGGCGGCGGATCTGGAGGTGGGTTAGCGACGCAGAGAGGCAGGCAAACAGGCACACAGAGGGAGGGAGGGAGGGAGAGCTGTGTGTGTGTGCCTTACGTATTGTGAGCATGGTGTGTGTTTGTTGTGCGTGTCAGGACATGGTGGACGAGGAGGTGTTCCGTCAGGCCAACGAGGTGCTGCAGAGCCTCCAGCGGCACGAGACCGCCGTGGCCCTCGAGTGGTGCACCGCCAACAAATCGAGGCTCAAGAAACTGCAGGCACCACACCACACCACACCACACACAGATAGATGACTGTCTGCAACGGCTGCGTGTGCATCGTGTGTGTCGTCTGGTGCGGTGTGTTGTGTTGTGCAGTCGTCCTTCGAGACGCAGCTGCATCTGCAGCACGTCATTGGGCTCATGGCAGACAAGAAAGCACAAGAGGTGAGGGGGCGGAGGGAGGGAGGGAAACGACATGCGCTCTGAAATGTTGCCCTTCTGACTCTGTGTGTGTGTGTGGCCAGGCCGTCAAATATGTGCGCGAGAATCTCAATCCATCAGACATCGGTCGGTCAGGGAGGGAATGCACAGCAATGAAAGTACACACACAATCTCATGCAGCCTGACGAGACGGAGGCACATCACATGACATGCGTTTTGTGATGGCGTTGTCTGGATGGTTGGTTCAGAGGGTTGCGCTGAGCTGCGCAAGATCATGGCCATGTTGGCTTTCGTCAACATCGGCACTGACAAGCTGCCAAACGAATACATGGTCAGCCAGCCAGGGAGGGAGTGATGCCATGCCCAGGGGGGGATAAACAGACAATGCACACGCGCCAACACTCACTCACTCACGAAATCACGTGTGTGTGTCCATGGCGTGGCGTGTCAGCGGCTGATGGAGGACTCTCGGTGGGACCTGCTCACCTCTCTCTTCAATGAAGCCGTCAGCCACCCACACCACACGGACAAAACCCATTGATACGCACATTGAATGTGTATCTCTTTGTTTCGGTGTGTGCAGTGTTCTCAGCTCTACGGCTTCCCCCCCAAGCCCCTCCTGGAGATCCTCCTGCAGGCGGGCTTCTTCGCCATGAAGTCCCCCCTGTGTGAGGAGCACCGCTCCGTCACATGCCCTACGTGCGACCCGGGGTGGACACAGTACCTCAAGGACGTCCCAGCACCCCACCACGTCCAGAGCACACTCGTCTGCGGCATCACTGGAGAACCCATCGTGAGCAGAGGGAGGGGGAGAGGAGAGGCATGTGTTCTTGTGAACACTTGTTGTGTGAACACTTGTTGTGTGATGGTTGTCAGGCTGAGAACGATCCTCCACTGGCGTCGCCGGCCGGGTTTGTGTACGCCACCTCGGTGAGCGGCAAACACACACACACACACACATGATGCTGGCAGGCAGTGTGCTGAATGTGTGCTGTGGTTGTGTGTGTGTGTGTGTGTGTGTTGCAGGCGATTGAGGCCCTGGCAGCTCAGTCGACCAATGGCTACGTCGAGGTTAGCCGGGAGCTGGAAATACCCTTAAGTGGCATCTATGGTGTGTCTGGCGGGCGTGTGCAGTGTCCGCGGAGCCGTGAGTCATATCCCATCAAGTCCTTCCAGAAGGTCTATGTGTCCTAGCTAGCTGCTCAAGCTGCACATGACGGGCCGTGCCTTCTGTGTGATATGTGATGATGCCACCGACCGTCGTTAAACATGTGCCCGCAGACAGACAGGCAGACAGACAGGCAAACAGACAGACAGAGAGGTCAGTGAGGTCTCGTGTTGTGTGTGGCGTCTTGCCTTCTTTCTCGCCTTGATGTGTCTGTCCACTGTGCGGTGCTCGCTTTCAGCTTGAATGGCTCATCCGGCACTGACTGATGATGCAAAGTCATTCGGTGCCTGATGCGGGCGGGCAGGCTGAGGCGTGTGACGTGCAGAACTGACAGACGGACAGACAGACAGACAGTCAGACAGACAGAGCCATCGTCATGAAGACGGCTGACCCACAGAGTTGAGCGCAATCTGTTCATTGATCGACCTGTGCGCTACTCATCTTGAGCAGGACTGCTGAAGTGTGCGTCAGATGAGCATCGTCAGTCGATGCCCAGTTCAGCACAGCTGCGCGGGACGAGTAGCGGACAGAAGCGACCGATAGACGGAGACATGCTGACTGCTGACCTGTGGTAGATGGATGAATCGTGTGATGCCGGCCGCCACATCCGATTAAGCACTTATCTGTCGACTGAGTTCAACGAGTCGGATGCACGCACATATGCATCCGTCAATGTCGCAGACTCCGCGCTGGTTAGTGCAGTAGAGATGGATGAGTCACCAAGAGCATGCAGCACATCCACTGCTCCCAGCAGCTCACCTCGATCACCCCGACGCTGCAGAGACCAGCACGGTGACACCGTTCCAGCGGCGGCAACAAGAAGCATAGATGAACAGGCAAATCTGAGCGTGCTTTGGGGGCGTCTCCCAAGTATCTTGATGAAAGGGGTCTGTTTTCACCTACAGGCACGGTTATGTTGTGCTGAGGACGTTCGGCGTCCCCCCGTCTGGTTGAGTAGCTCTCCCGTGGCTCGCATCGCATCGTAGCCATCGTCGTAGGAGACCGGACCATGACCAGCTGGCCGCCGACGCCTCCTCTCTTCCCTCCGGAGGAGATAGCCCCACCACGGCCTCGGAGCCCAATGAGAGCTTCCACTTCGCCATCCTGGATGGCCCAGCAAGAGGCCAACGTGGAGGGGCTGCGGGCCGTGATGCAGGATTACTACTCGGACGACGACGAGGAACCCGCCCCCCCCCGCTGCTGCTGCAGCTGCAGCTACTGCTGCCATTCCGCAGAGACCAACACCATCATGACAGCCACACCTGCAGCCCCCGCAGCTAGATGAGCATGTCCGTGAGCGGGAGCGTGAGCACGGCCGTGGCCGTGGTATGCATCGTTTCAACGGCGAGGGCCACGCCACCGGCCTTGACAGGGGAGCCGGCGTGCGACACCCCTTGACGCGCGACTCCCAGGACCATTGCACGAGGGACAGGATGCGGCAACGGGGTGGGGAGGAGCGTGGTGTGCAGGGAGACAGCGATGGTGCGCGGCAGCTGATGGATGTCGATGAGGACCGGGAGCAGGGCCGTGGGGGTGAGGTTGCTGGGAGAAGGGATGTCGACATGCTGCCCCGGAACAACACAACGCCTCCATGAGGGAGCCCATGCACAAACCATCACCAGTACGCAACCGACCGAGAGCACAATACATACGCCAACCACCACAGCTCTCTTGTTTGTATGTCTGTCGTCAGATATGTCGCCGTGGCTACCCTGAGCCACACTCTGCTACAGCTGCGCCCAGTGAGGCCCCGAGGGACAACCACAGCCCTCCCCGCCGCCCCACAACTCCCCTGCTGACCGCACCAGCTCACGAGGGGGCAAATCGCGTGACTCGAGTGACCTGGGCATCGGTCGTCTGGACGGGGGCAAGCTCAAGCGGCGGCCCACTGGCGGGGACCGCGGCCACCGGCCGCCCAGCCAGGAGGACCACGGAGATGAGCACGAGGAGACGCAAAGGGGCGTCACTCCACGTAAGCCAATGACAAGGGATCAGGGAGATCACTCGGATGCCTTCCTTCCTTTCTCTCTGTGTTGGTCCATGTGTATGTTGTGTGTGCAGGTCGTATTGCCCCCACGTTTATGCAGAGCCTGGAGAACCGCGACCGCGACCAGCAGCGGGATCGCCACACCTCCCGCGGCCGCCACCGCGACCGTGACCATGATGGTGCCGGTGAGGGCGGTGCCCGCGACCGTGACCGTGACCGGGCGCAGGAGGAAGAGGAAGACGACCGACTCAAATCACGCCCCTGCTCATCAATGGAAGCCCGCATGCGGCACCCCTTGATGCGCGACTCCCAGGACCAGCGCCCCAGGGACGGAATCCGGCAAGCTGGCCCGAGGTTTAGAAGGCGCAAGGTTTGCCGTGACACATCGTCGTCATCGTCGTCATCGTCGTCATCGTCGTCATCGTCGTCTGAGGAGGACCCGGCCGCCGTCGACACACTACACGAACAGCCCTTGAAGCGCAAAGGGTGAGCGCCCGTACACACGACATGGAGAGACACGCAGACACCTCTTCATTGTGTGTGTGTGTGTGTGTGGTTGCTCTGTCTGCGGGGGCGGTGGGTACGGTCGTGACAGTGACCGTGACCGCACTCGCTTGCGTGAGAGGGACAGTAACTACCGCCGGCGATACGATGCCGACCGAGATGGGTGAGACAGATCCTCAGCCGCACACACGCACGCACACACGCACACAAGGTGACAAGGTCGTGTCGTGTTTGCCTGCAGGAACCCACAACCCCCACCAACCCCATCGACCACCCCTAGTGCTCTTCCAGAGCCCTTTCAGGAGGCCCCTAAGGCAGCAGCAGCGGCAGCAGCTGCTGCGGCACTTCTCGTGCCGCTGTCTCCTGGTGATGCAATCCTCTCTCCCGCAGTGTCCCTCGACCTCAAACGCAAGCGCGAGGAGGAGGACAAGTCCCCGTCGCCCAAGAGGTCCAGGTTCAGCCTGACGGCAGCTGCTGCTGAGATGGGGGAGGAGATGAACATGGCCCCCCCACCAGCACCCGAGCAGCAGGAGCCGGAGCAGCAGCAGCAGCAGCAGCCGTTCGCGCCACCCGACCTCGCCATGGCCGCGGCGGCCGAGGCAGAAGAGCCGCAGTTGCCACCCCCGGCCCCGATAACGGCCCCACCTGCCGTGGGTGTTGACGAGGCCGCTGCTGCTGCTGGTCGCCCTCGCCAAGCCGCAATGCGGCTAACGGCCAAAGCCGCCATGGGTAATTGATGAGGGGAAGCAAGATGTCATTTAGATATGCTATGGTCCTGCTTGTGATGCAGAAAGAGGCTTTGCCTACAAAGACAATGATTTCCTCGGGTTTGACATCCGAGAACAGAATTTCAGGGGTGAGAGAGAGTTCCGTTTTGCACACATAGACATCCGTGTCTCCACGAATATGCGGCTGTGCTAATCATGTAGTGGCTGCTGACATTGGGGAGGAGGCGGTCGGCGGTCGTCGCGTGAAGAAGCTCGTCTGCAAGGCCAAGACCAAGAGCAAGGCGGCGAGCAAGGCGAAGGCGAAGGCTAAAGGTGCGTGGGGATGGACAGGCCTGGGACCATTCATTGGATGATGAACGGATGGAGAGATGCGTATCGCTGTGCGTGTCTGTCCGGGTGTCATGTCAGGCAAGGCAAAGGGCAAAGCGAAGACTAACTGAGAGTAAGGCCAAGGCCAAATGACAATACATACATACCCACACACGCATCTCATGCACTATGTACGTACTGACATCTGTCTCTCTGCACTATCCATGTGTTTATCAGATCAGGGGCCGCGTGACGGGTGGTGATGCAATCCTCCATATCTTGGATGGTGTGTGGGGCATGCGTGAGTGACGTCATCTATCTATGCTACCTATGGCTCGATAGGGGCGGGAGGGGGTGATGGATGGATGGATGGATGGATGGCCGACTGACAGCAACCGCCACCAACACAACAGCAGCGGCAACAGCAATATCAGCAACAGCAGCCTCGTCGAAACCACCCAATTCTCGCAAAGCTTCGTGTTCGAGTACCTCGAGATCCTCACGGCCGTCGACGCGTCTATCCTCACACAGCCCAACCAAGACGGTCTCCAACCGCTGCTGCTGGCGGCTGCCGTGGGGCACGACAGTCCTCGAATTGCAGTCTTGATGGGGGAGGAAGCCGCCAGTATGGTGGACGGGCATTGGTCAGAGCACCCTCTGTCGGAACCATACTGAGCTGACGATGCCGCCGGTGCTGCCGACATTCAACACTGTTTGTCTGGCTCTTGGTCTGAAGAAAGCATTTTGACAGTCACACGTAGACTGCTGTGTGGTGTGCATGGAGAGGACCAATCCGACATGCACGCAATGGCGCTTGGCGGAGGGGCCCCAACAACGGGATGGGCATCTACGTCGCAAGACGTAAGACACATAGAGACAGAGAGAGTCACTCAGACACACACAGACAGTCAAGGTTAGATATGGCGCTCTTGTGTGTCCGTGTGGGGTGCCTGCCTGCAGGCAAACGGTGAGACAGAGAGTGGCGGCCGAGGTCCTCCGTGAGAGTGAGGCGGAGGAAGACAGAGAGGTGATCGCCAAGGCCGTCGGGCTGTGTCTCAGTCGTGCGGCCGAGGAGAAGGCTGCGGGCGCCAAAGACGAGGCCGACATCGAGACAGATGAAGGCGAGATCGACGACGGCACATCAGAACTGTATGTCCAACAGAGACACCGACGTCGGGGAGTCACACGTTCTCTGTTTGACTCATGCAGTGGACTCGGACGACGGTGATGACTGGTGGGCCGATGTGGACCAATTCGACGAGTGTTACGAGCCCGTCGGCCACCCGGCAGCAGCGTCCGCGGAGGCCGCATCAAGCATCCCCACCGCAGCCTCCCACAGCACACATCAATGCACCTGCTCAGTCGGAGGACCTGCAGTGCCTGCCGTGGTGCGCCCGACCAACCAACCAACCGCCAAGCGACAGAAGAGAGACAAAGCCCAGACAGCCCCAACATCCACGCTCTCGAGTGCATCTGTCGGCAGCTCCGGCCGGCAGATGTCGACAATGACGAAGGCGGGACCTGCAGCTCCGCGTTTGAGATGGCCCTGCAGACGCTGGACGCCCTCGAACCCCGCCACCACACTCTGCCTTAGTTTCTCGTCCCATGAGGTCCTGCGACCGGGTCTTGTCGGCACTTTTCCCCCTCCTCACCGCCGCTCGACGCACAACACCCCCCACCGCCACCAACACAACAGCAGCAGCAGCAGCAACAGCAATATCAGGAACAACAGCAGTTCCAGGTCCCGGTAGGGAGGACCGCAGCAGTGTGCGGGACGAGAGCCTCATCAACGAGGAGGCAGGCCGTCAGGACGCTGCTGCACTGGGGAACGGCTGCTGTACGATATAAGATTTCCGGAGCACTCCGCCGCGGCCTCGTCGATCGTGAGTACATGGCCGTGCTCAATGAGCTACCCCATCAGGTGATGGCTGCCGTCAATGGAGCTTTGAGGCCGCACAGAGAGCTGGCTGCCCACCTGACCCGCCTGCTGCCCATCGCCCCCCACAACGACGGCCAAGACCCCGCGCCGTCCCGCCTCGCCCTCGGGGATGGCGAGAGCGCCTTGATCGGCTGGCACATCGCCGCCCTCTGCTTCGACCAGCACAAGGCAGCCACGGACATTGAGAGGGCAATCAACCTCAGCCACCAGACCACATTCGGCAGACGCATCCACTCGGCCGCGGAACACTTCGTTATGGGTGCCGTGCTGAAGACGGAGAGCAACAGGCAGGTGGGGGGGGGGATGGCCGACGTGGGCGGGGCGACGGTGCGGGTGCCGCTGCAGTGCTTCCAAGTGGTGGGTGGCGTCAAGGGGCGGGTGCTGGGGCTGCGTGAGGTCGTGCACAAGGCACGGATGGACGAGGCGGTCGCACGTGGGGGCCTGCATGGCCTCCAGAAGGGCTTCAATCAGCACCTGGTCAGTCGCTCAGCGATCGAAATCGATAAAATCGTGCATGTGTGTGTGTGTGTGTGTCAGGGCGACATTGACTGCCATTTCGCGTGGCCTGAGTTGGGATATGTCAATGGGGACGGCAGCTTGCAGCCCCTGCATCTAGAAGACCAGAGCCGGAAGATGACTGACTGACAGACAGACAGACAGGCAGACAGACAGGCCCCTGTGCGCTGCGCATCGTCCACACGGCCACCAGCAAATCGGGAGACTACTGTATAGGACTAGGTGTGCGGCTGGGTCCCATGCCTGAGACACAGAGGCCGTGCTTTCATGCGATTTGTGTTGATTGACTTGGTCTATGTGTGTCGGCTTTCAATGTCATCTCACGTGTCACATAGACACGTGACCCGCACACACACCCCATCAGACACACGAGTCCGTGCTGTCCAGCTGTGCAATCGCTAGATGATACAAGCACCAAGGGCCGAATAGATGGCGGATATCCACTGATAGCTGCAGTACATGTGCCGTTGAGTCCATCGGAAGATCGTTCAATCACGGAGATCGTCTCGCACAAGCGTCTCATGCCGTAAAATCGGCATCATCGGAACCAACACACCAACACACATACGACACCAGGCATACACACCAGTCACACACACACGCGCGCAGACAATCCTACGACAGGCGTGATGACCGTGACCATGAGGAGAGGAACGGCTACCACCGTGACCATGACCGACGCGACGACCGGCCCCGCTTGAAGCGCTGGAGAGAGGACGACACAGAGACACCAGCCGAGAGGGCTGCACTGAGGTGGGTAAAGCAATCGGTGCGATCGATGTCATGCCCGAATGCTGTCTCATGATATTCTCAGTGACACCTCATCGCCATCCGTCGCTGCCCTCTCGCCGATGGCACCGGCAAGGGAGAAGCCAGCCATGAAGTCGGCCGTGCCAGACAATGACAAGGCATGGCTGAAGCAGTTGCCCAGAGAGGTGCAGCTCCTTATCGAGACCAACAGCAACCATCCCTGGCGAGACTACACGACAAGACGTAAGTACCATGAGACATGGACAAGGATGATGTCATGCATTCGGGCGAGACGCGCGAGAAAGACACTGCTTCGTGTATGTATATGTGTGTGTGTGTGTGTGTTTGTGTGTAGTGCGGTATTTGACGGAGTGAGTTGCGTGGAGACTATTCCTTGATCAGTCATGCCGACTTCAGCACGGCTGCGGGAGACGCGTAACGAACAGAATCGACAGACAGAGAGACAGATGGCGACGTGATGGCTGACTTGAGTAGATTAAGTGAATCGTGTGATAAGGGCGCTAGGTCCGTTCATTCATTATCGAATGAGTTCGAATGTCGAGTCAGACTCACGTGCATCCATCCATCCATTCGGGGACTCCGCACTCGTGGCATCCACATGATCAAGATGAGTCACCCGAGAGCCGCATACCGACTGCTCCCAGCGGCTCACCTCGATCACCCTAACGCCCCCGCTGGTGCGAGACCCAACATAACATCAGCTATTCGTGAGACAACAAAAGAAAGCATTTCAGATCTCACCCCTCAAGCTCGTGTGGCCCATTTGTGGTGATGCTGCCGCACGACCGGGATGCCGTGGCGGCTCACCTGTCCAAGAGGAAGGCGAGACGAGCAGCCACAGAAGCCCGCCCACACAGTAGCATCAACACACGGAAGGCACACACCCGGCCAGTACACCACGCAGGTCGAAAAATCTCCCCTTCGGCTGCACAGGGAGATTAAAAGTCCTCTCTCCTCACAGACACATACACTCGGCACACACTGAAAAAAGCAGTGCATCCATCCATCCATCCATTACCATCACATGACAAATCAATCGCTACGCCTGCACCGGCTCCCTCTTCTCCGCTACCTCTTCCGCCGCCATTTTTCTCCTCTTCTCCGCCTCAGCCGCCTCGGCCTCCTCGATGCTCTGCGAGCCAACACGGATGGCCACAGCGCTGCCCAAACCCTCACCGTCCCCCTCGCCCTCTCCCTCCTCGTGTGCCGCCCTCTGGGCCTCCCGCCTGGCCGCCCGTCGTGACTTGAATTCCTTCCTGGGTGCGTCAGTTAGCGTCTGCGACGCTGGCGTCACCTCCTCACCCTAAGCACACCACAGACAGACAGACAGACAGACAGGGCTTGTAGTGTAGGTGTGGTGGAGGGGGAGGGAGGGGCGTGTGTAGATTGATGGATTTACCTGAGCTCTCTGTTGCTGCCTCTGTTTGCTCTGCTCAATTAGCTTGAGAGCGGCCTGCTTCTTCTCCTCTGCACGTTGCTTACGGAGGTCCTCAAGGCTCTCAGTAGAGGCGGTGGTCTCTGACGTCACAACTGGCTCAGAAGCGGAGGCCTCTGGCTGCGGTTGTGCTGCTGCTGCTGCTGCGACATTTGCTGTGGTGTCTTGCAAGAGTGGGGTGGCCGCTGGCACATCGGCAGCACCAGCAGCAGCAGTAGCAGCAGCAGGTTGGCCGCCTCGCTCCACCAGCACACCTTCGTCATTTGACCCCTCTTTGAAAAACACGGCTTTCCTGCACACACACCATGCCATGCCATGCCATGCCATGCACACATTCCCATGTATGTATGTGTATGTGCGCTTTGTGGTAAGCTGTGCTGTGCTGGGCAAGGCTGGCGCACCTTCCCGATTTGTCGGTTGTGGCGCTCTTTTCAGCAGCCTTGGCGGCCTCGGCGGCCATCTCCTTGTTCCGCCGCTGCCGCTCCAGCTCCTTCCGCGTCCTCGCGATCCGCACATCCGCATCCGCAGCACGCTTCCGGCGCAACTCCTCGAGATCCGCCTTGCTGCACCACACACAACACACACACACATGGATGAATGAATAGAATGCACATCAACCGATCAATGGATGGATGGATAGATGGATGCGCAATTGGGCGAAGGGGATGGTGTCTTACGTACGCCTTCTCGCGTTCCTGCTCCATTTGTTTCCTCTGCTGCTCAAGTGTGGCCCTCCTGGCCTCGGCCTTGTCGACAGCCGCCCGCCGCTCGCCGTACTGCCGGTAAGCCACCACTGACAGGGGGAAGGCGGACAGGAGGCCGACGCCCTCGACGACCTGCAGAGAGGTCAGGAAATTGGTCATGACGGGGTCGTAGGGAGCCATCTGCAGCGGCTGGCGGCGGGACGGCCGCCGGGGGGAGGGGGAGGGGGAAAGGGATGATCTGCAGGACAGACACGGTCATGGACAGAGATATATGCGTTTGGACTGTGTGTCTTGCACTCGCTGGTGCGAGTCTGAGGCATGAGCTGTGCGGCGCGTATGTAGGTAACCTGATGCTCGTGGCAGTCCGGAAGGCGTATGCGGGGAGGAGGGAGGCGAGCAAGGCCACAAAGATCAGAACCAGAAGATGCATGGCGGCGCCGACGTATCACTATCAATGGGATCCTTTTCAGGATGCGATCTCTGTCTGTCTACACAAGTCAAGCAGTGCGAGCTCAGTCGTCTGCAAGCTGAGCTCGTACAGGTTGAGGGAGCTCAATGTGTCAACGAGAGCACTGACAACGTCCACACCTGGTCGGTCATACAAACATCTCTCTTCCGTGTCAGCATAAGTTCCCACGGGCAGCCTCATCATGAATATCGTCCCGGTCCCGATGGAAGGCTCGGCAGCGGTGCCAACGGGATACTACCCCTCCGGCTCGGCCAGCCACACCCGTCCAGACAGCTCATCAGGCGTCAAGCACAGCTACCTGCATGAGCGGCTGCAGTCGTCCTCCATCGCCATGTCGCCCGTCTGCGTCATCGTGACCTTCGTGGCCATCGGGTGTCTGTTCATCACCCTGGGTGCGACCATCATGGCGCTGAGTGGCGATGTGGTGCACTGCGTGGTGCCTTACGAGTACAGTGGGGAGGCTGTGTATCGGTGGGTGAAGGTGACCAGCAAGGACTGTGAGCCAGAGAACGGCGTGGAGGAGCTCAAGGAGCCTGTGTACGTCTACTACCAGGTGAGTCAGCAGTGAGTGAATGAGCCAGTCGGCATCGGCGGGTTGGTGAATTCTCCCTGTGTGTGTGGTTTATACGTGGCAGCTGGAGGATTTCTACCAGAACCATCGAAAGTACGTCAAGTCCCGCAGCGACGCCCAGCTGGAGGGCAACTGGCGCGGGCAGGAGAGTATGATCAAGAACTGCGAGCCGCGGAGGAATGTCTTCGACCTCTTCGACGTGGAGACCGACGACGCGACGAGGAGAAAGGAGAGAAGTAAGCATACCTGTGACGCCCTTGACCGCACCGGCCAGGGCCCAGACGAGCCCACCTACACTCTCCCATACGGCCGCACCTTCAACAAGTCCACCCAAACCATCGACCAGCCCCTCCCGCCCATTGAGAACTGCGACGCGCTTCTCTACCCCTGCGGCCTCATCGCCACCACCGTCTTCACCGACTCATATAGGCTGTATGACGCCACGCAGGAGATGGACAATCTCACGGCGTCGGAAGGGTCGCCAGCGCCACTAGCAACAGGAGATGAAGATGAAGATGAAGATGATGAGGAGAAGTATGCGGAGAATGCGTGGCTTTCCAACGAGACGGTTGCCGAGGCGGCTGAGCGGGCGGGCGTGAGTGTGGCGGCGGCGGCGAGGAAAGTGGACACCAGGGCCGAGACCATTGCGTGGAAGGCCGATGTCGAGCGGTTCAAAAACATCAAATTCGACCATGTAAGTTGAGAAGGCGCAGATGGAGAGAGGGGCGGCTGTTGTTTGGGTGTGTGGTCGCATACCTTACAGGAGGAGTCAGACGTGGCCAAGAGGCGGGGGCTTGACGTGTACTCGTGGCTGGACAAGAACCTGTTTGCCGACGGCATCATGTCGGGACACTTCATCGTCTGGATGAGGACCGCTGGACTACCGCACTTCAGGTGCCTCAACCACACACACACCGCACGACACATGGATGGCAGACGAGCACGCCACAAGACCACGCCCATTCCTTGTATGTGTGTGTGTGTCCGTGTGTGTGTTGTGTGTGTCAGGAAATTGTGGGGCAAGCTCGACACCAAAGTCACCCTGCCGATATATGTCGAGATACACAACAGTGAGTGAGAGAGCACACCGACCCGACAGGCACTTCACTTGGGCGTGGCGTGTGTCGGTCGCATGTCATGTGTGTCGGTTGGATGTGTGTGGTGTCTGTCAGATTACAACACCTCCCAGAGCAGCAGCAAAAAGTCCTTCGTGCTCGCGACGGCCTCATGGCTGGGCGGGAGGAATGTCCACCTCGGTGAGAGCACACACCCACAGGACAGGGGAGTGCGTGCGCCCTCCACATGGCCATTGTGCATCCGTCTCTCCCCCTCTCTCTCTCTCTCTCTCTGTGTGTGTGTGTGTGTGTGTGCAGGGATAGCGTATGTGGTGGTTGGGTGCTTGGCGTTCTTTATCGGCCTGATATTCCTCATCCAGCACATGAGATCCAACAAGTGTGTGATCTGCTGTATGTGACATGAGCACACGGTATCGTTAGGATTTCCTCTGTCTGTCTGTCTGTCTGTCTGTGTGTCTGTGTGTGCGCATCAGGTCGCATGCCGACACTATTCAGCTCTCATGGGGCGGGTAGCATGCAGACTCCCCTCCCCC